GTCTATTTCTGGGGGTTTTTGTTACTCCTTTTTGTTTATTTAGCATATCCTTTAGAGTTCTGTTTGATCTTTCTATAACTGCTTGACCTGTAGGATTATGTGGTATACCTGTAACATGGTTTATATTATAATAAGCAAAAAACTGTTTCATTTTAACAGAGACATATGATGGAGCATTATCAGTTTTGATTTGTGCAGGTATACCCATAATGGCCATAACTTCTAGCAAATGAGTGATTACAGAATCAGCTTTTTCAGAACTCAAAGCAGTTGCCCATTGAAATCCTGAATAAGTATCGATAGTGTGGTGTACATATTTCAGTTTTCCAAATTCTGCAAAGTGAAACACGTCCATCTGCCAGATTTCATTCCTCTGAGTACCCTTTGGGTTACATCCTGCTGGTAATGGTGTTTGATTGTAGAAGGAACAAGTAGGACATTTCTTTACTATTTCTTTGGCTTGTTGCCAGGTTATGGAAAAATCCTTTTTTAAACCTTTACTATTTACATGATGTTTTTTATGAAATTCTGAGGCCTCCAGCACATTTCCTATCAATAATTTATCAATCTCATCATTGCCTTGTGCTAGAGGGCCTGGCAGACCAGTATGGGATCTGATGTGAGTTATATATAAAGGATGACTCCGTTTTCTGATTGTATCTTGTAATTGAATAAATAATGAAGTTAATTCTGAAGCATCGTGGATAAATTCTGCAGTCTCAATATGTAATACTACTCTTTCAGCATACTGAGAGTCAGTTACTATATTGAGAGGTTCTGAAAAATCCATTAATACCAACAGAATAGCATACAATTCTGATTTTTGAACTGAATTATAAGGACTTTGAACCACTTTACTTAAATTTTCTGATTTGTAACCTGCCTTTCCTTGTTTGTTGGCATCTGTATAAAATGTACGAACTCCAGATATGGGTTTTTTCCTCACAATTTGAGGCAAGATCCAATCAGCTCTCTTTATAAGATCAATTCTATTGCTTTTGGGATATTTGCTGTTAATTTCTCCCAAAAAATTACTACAAGCTTTTTGCCAAGCTTCATTTTCTATCCATAATTTTTCAATGTCCTCCTTAGTTAAAGGTACGACAATTTCTGCTGGGTCTATTCCTGCTAATTGACGAAGTCTCAATTTTCCTTTCCAAATCAAGTCAGAGATTTTTTCCACATAAGTTTTTAATTTTTTATTTGGTTTATTTGGTAAAAATATCCATTCCAATATAATATCTTCCCTTTGCATTAATATTCCTGTTGGGGAATGCCTAGAAGGTAAAATAACCAAAATGCAATCCAGCTTTGGATCAATACGATCTACGTGCCCTTCATGTACTTTCTTTTCTACCAAGGCCAATTCTTTCTCAGCTTCAGGTGATAATTCTCTTGGACTATTTAAGTCCTTATCACCTTCTAAGGTTTTAAACAAATTATTCAGTTCATCATTTTTTACCCCAACAATAGTTCTTAGATGAGAAATGTCTCCAAATAATCTTTGAAAGTCATTAAGAGTCTGTAGTCGATCTCTCCTAATTTGCACTTTTTGAGGTCTAATTTTTTGAAGTTCTATTTTATATCCTAAATAATTAATAGAATCTCCTCTTTGTACCTTTTCTAAAGCAATTTGTAATCCCCAGCAAGGCAAAATTTTCTTTACTTTTTCAAACATTCTTTCTAAAGTATCTGCATTTGAATCAGCTAATAAAATGTCATCCATATAATGATAAATTATAGATTTAGGAAATTTTTTACGTACCACTTCTAATGGCTGTTTTACAAAATATTGGCACAAAGTTGGGCTATTCAACATTCCCTGTGGGAGAACCCTCCATTGAAATCTTTTAACCGGTTGAGAATTATTATAAGTAGGCACTGTGAAAGCAAATCTTTCTCTGTCTTTTTCTTGTAAGGGTATTGAAAAGAAACAGTCTTTTAAATCAATAACTATGAGAGGCCAGCCTTTTGGTAACAGAGTAGGTAAAGGAATTCCAGATTGTAAAGAGCCCATTGGCTGAATTACTTTGTTAATTGCTCTAAGGTCTGTTACCATTCTCCATTTACCAGATTTTTTTTTTATAACAAATACAGGAGAATTCCAAGGGCTGGTTGATTCTTCAATATGATGAGCATTTAACTGTTCTTCCACCAGCTCTTGTAAAGCCTGGAGTTTCTCTGTTGTTAAAGGCCATTGCTGAACCCATACAGGCTTGTCTGTTGACCATTTTAAAGGTAGAGCTGTTAATGTTTTTGGAAGATTATCAGTTGTTGTGCCCTGTTCTTGTATGACATGGATGGCTGGTGAGCACTCATTAGAATAATATCTTTTAATATTTCTCTCAGAAACATGTACTAATTTATGATTTGTTTCTGAGATTGGAGGGATATTAATCTGAGTATTCCACTGTTGTAACAAGTCTCGACCCCACAGGTTCATAGCTATGTTAGCCATATATGGTTTTAATTTTCCTTTCTGTCCTTCTGGACCTATACATTCAAGCCATCTTACACTTTGTTTCACTCTAGATAATGTCCCAATTCCTAAGAGTTGAATGTTTACCTCCTGAAGAGGCCAAGTTGGATGCCAAAATTCTGGTGCAATTATGGTAATGTCAGCACCTGTGTCTACCAGACCAGACAACAAAACACCATTTATTTTTATTGTTAGTTTTGGTCTTTGTTCATTAATAGAAGTTTGCCAAAAAATTTTCTTTATGTTTTTTCCTGTATTTCCTATTTTCTCTGTTTCATCATCTCGACTAACATGATTTATTCCAATAGACATTTGGTTATTTAGTTGCTTTGAGTAGGGGTTTCCTCTACAACTGCAGGAAAGGTTTGAACTGGATTTACTGTGGGGGCCTGCCTGAGGCCCCTCTGGGAGTTTCCCGAAGGTCGAGGCAGAGGGTTACCCTGTCTGTCCCTTGTTGATCTACATTCGTTAGTCCAGTGTTTTCCCTTACCACACCTTCTGCATACTCCAGAAGGAAGGGGCATTCTGTTGCCAGTGTTCCTTGAATAAACATTATTTCTAGGAATGACCTGTTTACAATCCCTTTTCAAATGTCCTTGCTTTCCACATCCAAAACATCTAACATTGCTCAAACCTTTTGAAATTGCTTTTCCTACCCACATATCATCATGGTCATAAGCCTCTACATTAACTGTATCTCTAATCCAATCTTCCAAAGGTGCAGATCTTGCCTTTAACGGCCTAATTATTCTTTTGCACGCTGCATTTGCATTCTCAAAGGCCAAAGATTCAATTATTATCTGACTAGCCTCTGAATTCGGGACCATTTTTTGTACTGCTGAAGTCAATCTTTGTAAGAAGTCTGTGAAAGATTCTTTGGGGCCCTGTATAACCTTTGTAAATGACTCAGTTTTTTTTCCTGGTTCTTCAACTCTGTCCCATGCATTCAAAGCTGCCGTTTTACATAGAAGTAGGGTTTGGACATCATATGAACATTGTGTTTGTACTGAAGCATATTGGCCTTCGCCAATAAGCTGATCCTGGCAGACTTGTATTCCGCTATCCCTCCATTGTCTTTCTATATTTTTAGCCTCATTACTGAACCACATTTTCCACTGGAGATTTTGTCCGGGTTCAAGAACAGCCTGTGCCAATTCCCGCCAGTCCTTTGGTATAATCCTATTACAAGTTGACCAGGTGTTTAACATTTGCTTTACATATGGGGAGTGCATGCCATAAGATGCTATTGCCTCCTTAAATCTTCGTAAGTCTAACATTTCAACTGGAACCCAAGTATTTTGTTCATTCTCTTCATCAGGTAGCTGCTGTATGGCTACTGGATAAATTAAGGGTGATTGTGTGAAAACTGGCTTTCTTTCTGTAACCTTACGATCCAATTTTGAAACAACTTCACTATTTATTTCTTCTGTCTGAATTTGAATTTCTCTATAATTCATTTTTACCGGTTTAACAAGTTTTTCTAAGACTGTTATCCTGGCACTTAAGTTGACGATCTTTTTAAATAGTAAAATGAGGATAAGAAAAGTAATAAACTGAATAATTCGATCAATATTAATCTTTTCATATAGTTGTTCCATTGTCAGAGTGCCTAAAATTTCAAACAAAGCCCAATTTTCTTCCAATGTACACATAAAGCCCATTTTTTTTTTTAATGTAGAAAAAAATTCTCTTTTAAATAGATATGTTAATTGACTTACCAAGTCTGGGTAGAACAGTAGAATCCCAGGGAATTTCACAGCCACCTGGTGTTCGAGGTGTGAATCCAGCGAGAGAGAGAGAGAGAGAGAGAGAGAGAGAGAGAGAGAGAGAGAGAGAGAGAGAAAGTGTAGCCGCTTGAGCCGAGTCAAGCCTTGGCTTTACAGGCAGGGGCCCTGTTCAGCAGGGCAGGTCTGAGTTGTTTGTAGCAGTTCCAGCTGCGGGTCAGTCAGGCCTGGGCCCAAGCTAGGCAGCCGGGCCGCCCAGGCTGGAAACCGGACCTGCTGCCAAGCCAAGCCAATCGGTTTTTAATGAATTCTTGTCACGTTGGGCGCCAAATGTAGATGTATCCAACCTTCCCATCAAACAATAAACACAGAACCAATGCAAAGAAGAAAGCCAAGAGGTCAGAGCCAAGAGCCAAAACCTTACCCTTCCTCCTGCAGTGGTCCTACCTCTCCGAACCAGAGCTACCCCTGTGTTAAAGTCTTTATATAGAGTTCCTGTCCTGCCTTCTCATTGGTTGTAAACCCAACCACATGACCGCCTCCTCACAGCCTGTCTGTATAGGCCTCCAGGTTTTCCATGATTGGTATTAAGATTAAAGGCATGTGTATCCAATAATGGCTGTATCCCTGAACACACAGAGACTTACCCAGCTCTGCCTACTAAGTGCTGGAATTACAAGCATACGCTACCACTGCCCTGCTTTCCTATGGCTTGCTAATAGCTCTGACCCCCGGGCAACTTTATTTATTAACATACAAATAACATTTTAATACAAATAAAATATCACCATAGGGCCCCCCCCTTCCCAGTAAGTGTTATCTCTTCCTGACGTGACAGTTCCCCAACAACGTCCTTGAGTAAGAGGACGCCATGAGTGGCTTTCTCTTTGGGTAGCCCTTTTTACCCTAATGAGGTCCCAAGTGGATGAAGGCTCCCAATAGGTATTACCAGTTGTTTCACATCCCCATGCTTTACAGAAGTAACTTTCATAACCCCCACATTGTCTAATCATCTTTCTGTCCCTACCATCCCGGGGGCAGACGTAAAAGGATAGTTGTGACAGGGCTGCTCTGGTTTCAGGGTGACCACATCCATATCTCCCATCACTACATTTGCAAGTTCCCTTACCATCCTGACAGACGTCTGGTGCTCTGGGGTTCATGGGGTCAGTGGTAGGGATGTCCCAGTCCCCTGACCCTGCTACTAGTTGGCAGAGATCTGGATGCAAGTTGGGCCACCATGTGAAGGGGGTGTGAAGGGCGGTCGTTTGCCAGACCGTCTCCCCAGTTTGTGAGATAACCTGCCAAGTGAGCCTCTTAACTAGGTGCGGGCTCTCTGCTGCCCTAGTCCCCTGGGGGTAGGCAGAGATTAAGAGGAGGGGGAGGAAGAGGAGCCGCGGGCCAACCTTATTTTTAGGGGGTTTCGTGTGCGGCGCACTGTCCATGTTGACTTTCTGGATCCTGCTGGGTCGGGTTCCCTGGCAGCCTTCACATGCGAGGCGTGGATCCATGCAGCAATCCCGTCGACCTTGAGTGCAGTGGGGGTGGTCAGCAAGACAGTGTAGGGCCCCTTCCACCGTGGTTCCAGATTCTTGGTCTGGTGTCGTCGGACCCAAACGGAGTCCCCGATCTGGAAGGGGTGGGGCACCACCGGCTTGTCTAGCTGCTCCTGATAGGCCTTGGCCAGGGGCTTCCAGATCTCCCTCTGCACCAGTTGGAGGGCTTGAAGATGTGCCTCTAAAGTAGGGGTGGTAGCAAAGGAGGAAATATCAGGATGGAGAAAGTCTACAACAGGAGGTGGGGCCCCATACATGATCTCAAAAGGGGTTAGGCCGTGTGGGCCAGGAGTATTTCGGGCTCGGTAGAGAGCCAAGGGAAGTAGGAGCACCCAATCTCTAGTGCCAGTTGCAAGTGTTAATTTGGTTAAAGTCTCCTTGATTGTTCTATTAGCTCGTTCTACCTGTCCTGAGCTCTGGGGACGGTATGCACAATGGAGTTTCCAATCAACCCCCAATAGTTTGGCCACCCTCTGACTTACCTGAGAGACGAAGGCAGGCCCGTTATCCGACCCCAATATTTGAGGCATCCCATACCTGGGGAAGATTTCTTCCAACAGTTTCTTTGTTGCCACGTTAGCCGTCTCATTCTTGGTTGGAAATGCCTCGATCCATCCAGAAAAAGTGTCCACGAAGACCAGGAGGTACCGGTACCCGTAGAGTCCGGGTTTTACTTCTGTAAAGTCTATTTCCCAATGAACACCAGGACGATGACCTCTTTGGCGGGCCCCCTTGTTTAGATGAACCTTTCCTGCGTTGACTTGAGCACAGGCTGGGCAGGTAGAAGTTACCTGCTGGAGTACCTGATCCTGGTTCAGCAGCACTGTCCAGGTGTTTTCTCTGTCCAATAGGGTCTTCATCTTGTTTTTGCTCAAATGGGTCAAAGCATGGAGGAATCTCAGCATGTATCGGGTATGGGAGGTTGGCATGACCATCCGGTCCCCTAGTATATATGCTTGTCTTCCTTGTTCCCAGTCCGCCCCCATTTTCTTTGCTAGCTCATGGTCTTCTGGGCTATAGGGCACGGGGTCTCTCTCAGGCTGTGGTTCTTGTATGGCCATCAACTGGCTGCTCCCTGCTGGCTGGGAAGCCACTGTTCGGGCAGTCAGATCCGCCAGTCGATTCCCTCTGGCTACCGCAGAGTCATCCTTTTGATGCCCTGGGCAGTGGACAATACTGAGTTGGAGCGGGAGGAACAGGGCCTTTAGGAGGTCTAGGATCTCTTTTTTGTTTTTGATTTCCTTACCCGCGGACGTCAGCAGGCCTCTCCGTCTGTAGATTTCCCCGTGGACATGCGCAGTGGCGAAGGCATATCTGCTGTCAGTATAAACTGTGAGCTTCTTACCTTCTGCCATCCGGAGAGCTTGGGTGAGCGCAATCAGTTCTGCGCGCTGGGCCGATGTCCCGGGCGGGAGTGACGATGCCCATACCACTTCCGATTCGGTGGTTATAGCTGCCCCGGCTCTGCGTTTCCCCTCCTCCAGGAAACTGCTCCCATCTGTGTACCAGACAGCGTCTGGATTCTTAAGCGGCTGATCTGTCAGATCAGGGCGGGTGCCATGTGCTTCTGCTAGAATCTGGAGGCAGTCATGCTCCTCGGAGGGGCTAGGCAGTGGCAGCAAGGTAGCAGGGTTAAGGGAAACTGTCGGCCCAAAATTTACCCGGTCTGAGTCCAGTAGTAAGGCCTGATAATAAGTCATTCTGGCGTTAGAAAGCCATCTGTCCGGTGGTTGTCGGACCAAGGCCTCCACTGCATGGGAGGCCAGCACAGTCAACGGCTGTCCCAGAGTCAGCTTCCCGGCATCCTTGAGTAATACGGCAATGGCTGCCACCATGCGGAGGCATGATGGCCATCCTGTAGCCACCGGGTCCAATTTCTTGGACAAGTACGCTACAGGTCTCCTCCAAGGTCCCAGTCTTTGCACCAGTACCCCTTTGGCAAAACCTGAGTTCTCATCCACAAACAGCTCAAAGGGCTTGGTTAGATCTGGCAGACCCAGAGCCGGGGCCTCGAGTAAGGCCTTCTTGATCTGTTGGAACGCTTTCTGATGCTTCTCTTCCCATTGGAACATGGCCCCTGGTTTAGTGAGGGGGTACAATGGGGCTGCCAGTTCGGCAAAGCCAGGAATCCAAAGGCGGCAGTACCCAGCCGTACCCAGGAGCTCTCGAACTTGGCGGGGGTTCCGAGGAGGAGGGATGGAGATTATCATCTCCTTCCTCGCTCTTGTTAACCATCTTTGTCCCCCGCTCAGGGTGTAGCCCAGGTAGGTAACCTTGTCTCGGCATACTTGAGCCTTTCTGGCTGAGGCTCTATAGCCCTTTTGTCCAAGTCTGGCCAATAAGGCTCGAGTGCCCTCCAGGCACTCGGTTCGACTCCTGGCCGCCAGGAGTAGATCATCCACGTACTGGAGCAGAGTCAGGGTTGGGTGTTCGACCCGGAATCCGGCCAGATCTGCATGTAGGGCCTCATCAAAGAGGGTTGGGCTATTTTTGAAGCCCTGAGGGAGCCGGGTCCAGGTTAACTGTCCCGAAAGCCCTTTTTCTGGGTCTCTCCATTCAAAAGCGAATAGCATTTGACTTTGAGGGTGCAGTCTCAAACAAAAGAAGGCATCCTTCAGGTCTAGCACAGTGTACCAGACGTGGGTTGGTGGGAGGGTGCTCAGAAGGTTATAGGAGTTGGGCACCGTGGGGTGTATGTCCTCCACCCGCTTATTGACCTCTCTCAAGTCCTGGACCGGCCTGTAGTCCCCTGTCCCCGGTTTCTTAACAGGCAAGAGAGGGGTGTTCCAAGGGAACTGGCAGGGCTTTAGCACCCCTTGGTCCAGGAGCCTTCGAATATGGGGCTTGATCCCCTCATGAGCTTCCCGTGACATTGGGTATTGTCTAATTGAAACGGGAGTCGCGGAGGCCTTTAGTGAGATCACCAGCGGTGGCTGATCGTGTGCCAGCCCCAAGCCTCCAGTCTCTGCCCAGGCCTGAGGAAACTCCCTCAGCCAGTTCTGTAGTTCCTCAGGTGATTTCTCCGGGGGTTCTGGTTCAAACAAACGGTATTCTTCTTCTAAACTGAGGGCAAGGATTTGTAGAGGGTCTCCTTTAGGACCCGTGACCCTCGGTCCCTTCTCATCAAAATAGATTTGTGCCTTCAATTTGGTTAATAGGTCCCGTCCTAACAGCGGATGGGGGCATTCAGGTATGTGCAGAAAGGAGTGAGTTACTTGCCCTGATGCCAGTTGGACTTTTCTCTCGGCAGTCCAATAATACCTCTTGTTTCCAGTTGCCCCCTGCACCAGTGCAGAATGCCGGCTAAGAGGCACTCCGGCATGGGTTAGGACTGAATGTTCGGCACCAGTATCAACCAGGAAGGTCACGGGCTGCCCCCCGATCTTGAGTGTTATCCTAGGCTCAGGGGGGGGCTCCTGGCCTCGACTCCCCTAGTCTTCCAGACTAAGGAGGTCTACGGTCTTGGGCTTGGGCCGGCGGGGTCCTTGTGGCTTCTTGGGGCACTCTCGGGCCCAGTGTCCCTTCTCCTTGCAGTAAGCACATTGATCTTTATCAAGGGGTGGCCTCCTTCGCTCTCCCGACCTATCTCCCTCTCTCCGCTGTCCCTGAGACACAACGGCGGCCAAAACCTTTTTCATCTCCCTATGCTGTTTCTTGTCCCTTTCCTCTTGTTTCTGCCATCTCCTTTCCTCTCGCTCCTCAGGAGTTTCTCTCTTATTGAACACTTTCTCTGCTTCCTTCAATAAGTCTGGCAAACCTAGCGCCTGTAAACCTTCCAGCCGCTGCAATTTAGTTCTGATATCTGAGCTAGACTGATAGATAAATGATAGAATGACACCTGGTGCTTGCCCTGGGTCTTCTGGATCATACGGAGTGTACATCCTATAAGCCTCCTTCAGCCTCTCTAAAAATGCAGCGGGTGTTTCTTCCTTTCCCTGTATCACATTCCTTAACTGAGCCAAATTGGTAGGCCTTCTGGCGGCCGCTCGGAGACCCGCTAAGAGCAACTGGCGATAGAGACGTAGATGCTCCCTACCTTCAGGTGTATTGAAGTCCCAGTCTGGGCGGGTCAAGGGAAAAACTGCATCGATGATATTTGGGAGTTGGGTTGGCCTCCCATCATCGCCCAGAACCTGCTTCCGGGCCTCCAGGAAAACTCTCTGCTTCTCCTCTACTGTTAAGAGGGTCTGCAGGAGCTGCTGACAGTCGTCCCAAGTCGGCCTGTGAGTCACTAGGATGGACTCAATTAGGCCGGTTAAGGCAACAGGATCCCTGGAGAAAGGGGGATTATGTTGTTTCCAATTATAGAGGTCTGAGGCTGAAAAGGGCCAGTACTGCAACTGGCGATTCGGCCCCTCTCTGAGCGGGAAGGCCCTGGACTCAATAGGGGGGCCATCCCGGCGGCTGCGGAGGCGGCCGGCAATGGGGGATGGGGCTGCGTCCTCTTCTTCAGCCCCGTGGGTCCTGCGAGTCGAGGTGACTTCCGGATCTGCCACGGGCACGGCCGGGGACGCCGCCACCGGGGCGGCGGCTGGGGCCACTTCGGCCGGCTCTCCAGGTGGTCCGGCTCGATATGGTGGTGGGTCCTCCGTCAGGAGATCTATAAGGGGGGTATGGGGGTCTGGGGGGAGGACTGGAGGCTTAGGAGTCTCCTTGTGAGGGAGCACGGGGTAAAGGGAGGAGTCCGGGTTGGGGGGCGCAGAAGGCCCAGAGACTGGAGGGGGCTGCGGAAGGAAAGGCTTAACCCATGGAAATGGGTTCTCGACCAGTGATCTCCAGATGGCGATATATGGGACCTGGTCGGGATGCCCATAAGGGCTAGGGGCGAAAACCTTACCCTCCACCTGCGAAATAAGAGAGAGGTTAAAAGATCCCTCTCGCGGCCAGCCGACATTCATCATGACCCATTCGGCCTTGCAGAAGGTGATCCATTTCTTCTTCCTGACAATGACACCTTCATTGTTTCCTCGGGCCTTAACATCGGACCAGTGGTCCTTGGTTAGGCTCAATGGGGTGGCGACAGCCTGTCCCATGGTGGTCTCCAAATAAAGAAGGGTTAAACACACAACGAGAAACAAACAGACAAGACAGACCACAGAATTTTTCACTGCGCGGCTCCGGCGTAAAACCGAAAGCAAAAACTCAGATGGGGACGCGGAGTGTTTGAATTCTCCGTCCCCTGCCAGTACCACGTATCCTTCTGATGCGTGGGTGGCCCCGAAAAACCGTGCCCCAGAGGGGACTTTCCGTGCCCCAGAGGGGACTTCCCGTGCCCCAGAGGGGACTTTCCGTGCCCCAGAGGGGACTTCCCGTGCCCCAGAGGGGACTTTCCGTGCCCCAGAGGGGACTTCAGATACCCGTGGAACGTCTTCCAGGGTTTCGGTGGGCGAAGTCCGAGCTCGTCAGCTCCTTCAGCCCCCACCGACTCAGACCTGACTTTGGGCGCCCGACGAACACGAAAGACGAGCAAACAGACTGAGACAATACAGACAGACAATGGCCGGCCAACTTACCTCCTGACAGTGGGTCGGTGGTCCCGAGACGAGGGTCTCCGATCCCGGACGAGCCCCCAAATGAAAGACCCCCGTCTGGAGTCTTCCCTCTGGAGAGACCCTCGCCCAGAGATCACACCGAGACCACAAGTCAGATGCAAACAGCAAGAGGCTTTATTCAGGAACACGGGTACCCGGGGCGATACAGTCCCTCCAGAGGCTGAAGAGACTGGCGCGCCGACGGGCTGGAGTGGAGGGTTTTTATAGGGTTGGGCAGCGGAAGGGCGGGTACAGAAGCAGGAAGCATAGTTTACAGGGTTCTGATTGGACGATTCGTATGAGGCCAGGTTCAAACTCAGGACAGCTCGTGGTTTTTCCCCGAGCTCGACACGCCTGCTGACTTGGCTCTTATCCAGGGTACAAGTTGTTTTTCTGACCTTTAGTTACTTTTCAGGCCTTGCTCAAAAATGGCGTTAGGCTAAGCAAGTATGCTGGGGCCCTTCAATAGAAAAATAGTTTAAACATAATAAAGTCTTTAAAGAATAAAGTAATATCAAAAGAATAAGCTATGAAAAGTTAGGAAATACAGGGTGTCTGGATTCTGTATGGTGTTCTGTAGACTTTGAATTTTTAAAATGCTAATGTACAAAAAACAACAGCTACTGAAAGACATTGGATTATGGAAACTGCTAAACTGAACCAACCTATATATTTTAAGAATGTCTTAACTTCAAAATGGAAGTCAAAAATATGTTGCGTTATGGGAGAGGCTATACCATTGTTTCCACAGAAAACAAAAGGTTATGGTTCTCTTCAAAATGAATGAAGATCAGATTTGATTGGGAGAGACCTCCTGAAAATCTTGGCTACAGACATAAAAAAAGGAAACCAAGAAAGACCACAGGACAGGTAATGTATATTCTGAGTCTCATAGTTTTCTGAGCTTCCTGAGTCATGGGTGCCTCCCTCCTCCCTCCAGGAAGGAGTGTTTCAGTGCAGAGGAAATTGCTACACAATGGGGAGGTGGGGGGCTGAGGATCGTGTGTGCAGTGGGGTGTCGGCTGCCATAGACATTAGAGGAGGTAGGCTACTTCCTTAACCCTCGGTCACCTGGGTGGAGGCTCCTCCCTAGTTACCATGAAGCTGTACCCTGGGAGCAGCATGCTGTTGCTGTTGTTGTTGCACTGAAATGGCTCCTTCACGTCTGTGCTAGACCAGCTTACTGCCTAGCAGAAAACTGTTCTCTCTCTCTCTCTCTCTCTCTCTCTCTCTCTCTCTCTCTCTCTCTCTCTCTCTCTCTTCCTCCCTCCCTCCTCCTCCTCCTTTCCTTCTTCCCACCCCACCCCCACAAAAAAAAAGCAAAAAAGCAAAAAAAAAAAAAAAAAGCAGGTCACAGCAATCCTTCTGCCTCTTTCTGAGTACTTCGTTACTGTGTTTACAGGAATGTACCATCGGCATCTCAGAAACCTACCCATTTTTTTCTTGTTTATATTACCAAGACAGGCCAAGATTTTCACAGGGGCTCAATACACTGAGAATGAATGTGGTTTTTTTTTGTTTTTTTGTTTTGTTTTGTTTTTTAAATAGAGAATATGATGCCTGCTCCACAAAGTCGTGAAGATGTGGGAGTAAACTCGGGTGTGCGGCGTTTCCTTGAGGTGAAACACCAGCAAGCAGTCGGAACTCAGTCCTCCTCACCCGGAAGCCCCGCCAATTTCATCCTGTTATTCATCCTACTATTGATGGCCAGCCACTGCCTTGGCTACTGCCTTTTAATGGATTTGGCTCTGCCTTTTAAAACCTCATCGTTAAAGCTGGAGCTGGAGCTCAGTCAGTAAAGTGGTTTTTGAGAATTTGGCCACTGGTGGGTTTCCCATGCTCTAGTGGATGGCCCCACACCCGTGAGTGGGAAGCACTACTGGACTTAAGTACATTCTCAAAAAAAAAACAAACAAACAAACACAAAAAACCAAAAAGACGTGAAGATGTGGGAGGGGGCATGTTGAGGGGATATGAGGGAAGTTAGAGGCCCCAGGTTGAATACTCTGTAACATACATACATACATACATACATACATACAGAGAGAGAGAGAGAGAGAGAGAGAGAGAGAGAGAGAGACTAGACGTTATGGGCTTGGGGAAAACCTACTGTTCTTCTAAAGGAGCATAGCAATAAATGACTACAAAGGACATACTGCTATATCCACAGACCAGAGCGTCACTCAACTGTTGTCAGAGAAGATTCTTCTCAAAGTAGGTGATAATTAACAAAGAGATTCACACCTGGACAGGGTGCAGATACTTAAGAGACTTTGGATCTCTCAGCCTTAAATGGGATGTTTAATCAATGAACTTTCTCAATAAAGTGTCACCAAGTCAATCAACTGCATCCTAGGATAAGCCTCATGCCAGGAGCAGTTGGTCAACACAAAATAGATTTCATACTTCCGTGCACTTTTTTGGGGTATGTTTTGTCTTGTTGATTTTCGTTTTTAGAGTTTGTCTGTTTTGATTTTTTTTGTCTTTTGCTTTTCATTTTCTGTCTTTCTCTTTTTAAGAGAGAAAGACATAGAACAAAGTTGGATGGTTAGGGTGGTGGAGAGGCTCTGGCAAGAGTGTGTGTGTGGGGGGGATATGATCACAATATACTGTATGAATTTTTTAAAGATTTATTTATTTTTATTTTATGTGTATGAGACTATTTCTGCGTGTATGTATGTGCACCATGTGTATGTCTATCCCCACAAAGGCCAGAAAGTGGCATTGGATCTCTGGATCCCTGAAACTGGAATTAACAACTGACTGTGAACGAGAGTGTGGGTGCTGAGAACCTAATTCAGGTTCTCTGAAAGGGGCTCTTACTTGATGAACCAGCCCCAGGCGAGCAGATCTTTGATGATTGTGAGTGTCTTGTGTCTTGGCTTCTCAGGTCATACACAACCAGGCTGTGAAATGTTCTGTCACTAGAGAAACCCTGCATCATTCAGGACATGAGAAGCATGTGATGAGCCTCCCAGGGTAGGGATAGGTGTCAGCTCATCTTCATTCATGGAGGAGTATTAGTACGATGGGCCATGAGTTTATGTAAGTGAACTAACAATATCTATTAAACACATAAAAGGGGTGTGTGTGTGTGTGTGTGTGCCAATAAAACACACACAAAACATTTTGGTGGAAGAAATGTTACAACCAGGGGTTAACAGGAACCAGCTTTAGTTTAACCTGGAATTCCCTCAAAGACTCACCCAAGTGTTATTGGCTTGGTTCCTTGTCTATGGTGCTATTGGCAGATAATAGAACTTTTAGGAGATGGAGTCTAGTGGGAGGAAGTTAGGTCATTGAGGGTATGCTTGGGGTGATAGTGAAGTCTTGGACTCTTGTTTCCCTCTTTCTCTGCTTCTTGGCTACTACAAGATGAGCAGTCTCCCCCACCACATGCTCCCGCTGTGAAATCTTATGCTACTACTGGCCCTGAGCAAGAGGACCAGGTGACCATGGATGGAGACCATGTGTTAGAAACCTTCCCTTCAATGTTATGTTGGGTATCTGTTACTGTAAATGGAAGCTGGCTAATCCAGAGCCCCACATTTCCCTCAAGCAGTCCCCATTCATAAAGTCAATGTTCATGGCAACTGTAGCGGTCATAACTACTATAAATTTGTCCATTTTTAAATTTCACTCCCCATTTATTCAGTAACCCATTGGTGATTCAAAAGTGATTTGTTCAGTTTCTTTGTGTTTGGATATTTTTCTGTAGTTTTTTCTGGCTGTTGATGTTGGGTTTTATTCCATTATGATCTAATGACTGCATTTATTTTTTAAGAGCCTCCTATAGGCCAAATAATATTCTAGAAACTTACTTATATTATCTCTTATTCTTGGCCCTTAATTGAGATTCATTATTCTCAAATCACAGATGTAAAAAATGTATCATCTTCTCAAAGCAGCTATCCTGTGAAAATGTGATTGGGGGTGTGAAAAACGTCTCCAATCACATTTTCAAGCATCACGAGGTCTTGATGGAAGGCCCCTCTCAGCCTGCTTCCTGGCTTCTCAGCCATTTCTTGTTGTTGGTTGTTTTTTTTTTTGCTCTTTTGGGGGTGGGGGTGGGGCCCGCCACCCAGCTCCCCAGTAAAACACTCACGGAGACGTATTCATACTTGTGAATGCCCGGCCTTATTTTGGTTTAGTTTCTAGCCAGCTTTCCTTAACTTAACTTATCCTGTCTACCCTTTGCTCTGGGCTCTTCCGCTCTCTTTCTTTTGTAAATCTTACTCTCACTCCTACTTCCATGGCTGGCTGTGTAGCTGGGTGGCTGGCCCTGATGTCCTCCTCCTTCTCTGGCTCCTAGCTTTCCTCTCCTCCCAGATTTCTCCCTCTATACATTCTCTCTGCCTGCCAGCCCCGCCGATCCTTTCTCTTGCCTCGCTATTGGCCATTCAGTTCTTTATTAGACCATCAGGTGTTTTAGACAGGCACAGTAACACAGCTTCACAGAGTTAAACAAATGCAACCTAAACAGAAGTACCACGCCTGAAAACACCCTGCTACAGTTTCTCCTTCTGCACTGCCTTCTAAGCAGCCAGCCCGCCTCTCATCCACCCTCCACCCTTTGGCCTTTTTCTCCTCCAAGTCCATGTCTGTCCTCACTGTCTTCTTCTTCTCTCCACAACTAAAGGCATTTTTGCTCTCTGGGGAGCTGGAACCTCAGCTCTGTCCTACAGAAAATCTCAATAATTATTTTTGGGGTTTTTCTATTTTAAAAACACCATCAAGAACAGCCTGTGTGGACAAAGAGACATTCTTGTTTCCTTGATACTTGCACTGTGGGACTATATATCTATATCATCTATATCTATATCTATATCTATATCTATATCTATATCTATATCTATATCTATATACTGAGTCTTCTCATTTCAGGATGAGGCTGTGGGGAGAGATACAGTGACTTCTCTGGCAGGTAGGGGACTGCTGGAGTTCTGTCAATGAAGACTTCCCAAGTCATAGTCTAGACCTGGCATCCACACTGAGGTGCAGGTCTGTGCCTACCTCAGTGATGCAGGAATTAGCAATAAGGTCAAGCTCTTTGTGGGCTATGGGGTAGTGGTGGTGATGGTTATGCTCTGTAGAAAGGGCAAAATGAACATTTTAGGACTTCCTTCACAAGTGGCTGTGGACATGTTTTGAAGGAGGAAATGGTTTTGCGTGTTCATGTGTACATAAGTGCCATGTATGTACAAATGCGTGCACATGTGTGTATGCATATGGATGTCAGACATTGTCTTTCCTATTGTCATGATGAAACACTATGACTAAGGGAACTTATAAAAGAAGGTATTTAACTGGGGGCTCACAGTTCCAGAGGGTTAGAGTCTATGACCATCATGTCAAGAAGCATGGCAGCAGGCAGGCAGGCAAGGAGCTGGAGTCATAGCTGAGAGCTTACATTCTGATCCACAAGCAGGAGGCAGAGACACAGAACTAATGGGGGATGGA